GTAGAGAGAGAGAGAGAGAGAGAGAGAGAGAGAGAGTCCCTGTGAAATGCAAAGAGAGAGCCAGTGACGCTATTATTGTAAAATTAGTTCCGAGTGTGTGTAGAGAGAGTTAAGAGGTTCTTGTCACTGTGAAATGTGAACATGTAGGAAGATGAGGCCATGTTTTTTCATTCATTCTAGGACCTGGCAGCAACCATTTCCACAAACTATTGTAAAATTTTCCCTTTTTTAAGGGTGAGATTTTCTGAGGCCACAGCTGTATACGGCTACGGCTCAAATCTCCACTTAAAAGACCATTCCTGGGCCCCAAATTTTGGAGCATAGAGAGAGAGGCACCAAACTTGTGGACTCACTGTTTCTCCGCCTAAAAGACCTCATGAAAAAACATATGAAGTCACGCAGGAGTATGCTGACTATATACTCCCTTAGGTAAAACTCAATTTATTAGTATTTTTAAGCGTGTATACTGTGCTCCTATAGGAGCTGCTACCGTCCAGGTACTGGGGCAAAGAAACCCTACTCATGAATAATTTTTTAATCTTAAATTTTGTGACCGTTCAAGAATCACTAGATGATTATTTTAAAAAGAAAATATTTATTTTTAAGTTCTCTACTACTTAGAACTTCAAAATATTGAACAATATGTTCAATCTTGAGATTGCTTTTTCCAATTGCATAGAGAATGCCAACAGCTTTTAATTTTTTGAGGTTAGGTTATGGATTGCAGGGGTTATATTCCCAAAATTTGGGAACTTAAAAGTTACTTCTACATTGGGTTTTACACAAGGGAGTAAACGAACATTATGCTCTTATGTGAGCATGAGATCTTTAGCATTTTTAGTACTTCAAATTTTGCTGACGTTACCTTTCCAACCTCTTCAATTGGTAGACTAACGTCAATAAAAACGCTTCTAAATTGCGCTTTCTATATACTTGAAAAAAATAATATCTTAAGATTGAATATTGCCCGGCCAATTTTTAAAGGGTTAAATTTAAGTATTGGAGAAGTGGAAATTTAAATTTTTTTTTTATTTTGAAAATAGTCATTTAGAGATTATTATGTGGTTATCTTCAGATAAAAATAAAAAATAAAAAAATAAAAAACTTTCTATGCAACCCAACTTTTTCTCTTCCTTTTTTACCCAAAACAAACTTTCTATGCATATATTCTCTTACTTTTTTCCCCAAAACAAATTTTTTATGCAAATACCCCCAATGAAAAAAATTCATTTAAAAAAAAAAAAATTATAAAAAAAAAACCCAAGACCAAACATTGCATGCAACTTACCCCCAACCCAACTTTTTCTCTAACTTTTTCCCGCAAAACAAACTTTCTATACAAATACCCCTCAAGAGAAAAAATTCATTTTTTAGACAGAAATGACCTTCCCGTACACAAAAATTTTTTTAACTGAAAACAAACTTTTTATACAAATACCCCCAAGGGAAAAAATTCATTTTTTTCGACGGAAATGACCTTCCCGTACACAAAACTTATTTTGGCCAAATTTGACATTGACTTTTAGACCCAGTAACACATTGTCAGAGTGCACAAGTGCTAGACTGCCCTAAGACTATTGCCGGACCGCCCTTTGCAACTGTCGAACCATACTTCACAATGTCGAAGCCCTACTGTCGGATTGCCCTTTGCAACCGTCGGACTATACTTTACACAATACCAGAGCCCTACTGCCGAACCGCACTTTACATATTATCGAAGCACTTTACACATTGTCGGAGCCCTACTGCCGGATTGCACTTTACACAGTGCCCGAGCCCAATTGCCGAACCGTATTTTATACAGTGCCGGAGGCCTACTGCCGGACCGCACTTTATATTGTACCGAAGACCTACTGCCCCACCGCACTTTATAGTGTCGGAGCCCTACTGCCGGACCACACTTTAACACAGTGCCGGAGCCCTACTGTCGGACCACACTTTAACAAAGTACTGGAGCCCTACTGCCAGACCGCATTGTATATAGTGTTGGAGCCCTACTGCCGAACCACACTTTAACAAAGTGCTGGAGCCATACTGCCGGACCACACTTTACATAGTGTCGGAGCCTACTGCCAGACCGCACTTTATACAGTGTCAGAGCCCTACTGCCGGGCCGCACTTTACACAATGTTGGAGCCCTACTGCTGGGCCGCACTTTATACATTGTCGGAGCCCTACTGCTGGACCGCACTTTATACAATGCCGGAACCCTACTGCTGGAGCACACTTTACACAGTGTTGGAGCCCTACTGCCGGACCGCACTTTATACAGTGTTGGAGCCCTACTGTCAGGCCGCACTTTACACAATATAGGAGCCCTACTGTCAGGCCGCACTTTATACAATGCCGAAGCCCTATTGCTGGATAGCATTTTATACAGTGTCGGAACCCTACTGTCGGACCACACT